GGTGCCCAACGTACACCTGCCGCAGCTTCTTATCAGACTCAACGGCCTCCTCAACATTTTCATAGCGGCTTGGGTTGTCCAGATTGTAGTACTCTTTGGCGCCACTGGCAGCGGTCACAAGGTGGATGACCGCATCGTAGCGATCTCGTAGCGTCTCTAGTGTTACATTCAAACGTCGCAATAACCGTTCAAAAATCTCTTCGGAGCAAAACGCCCTTCCATCCATCGTTCCACGGTCGGAGATGACAATGCTTGGCGCTCCCGAAGCCATCGCCACATTGTAGAACTGATCCTCCAGACCTATTTGCACGCGGAGAAGTGCCAACTGCTGCTCCTCAATGAGGTCACTGTTCCAAACCATGCCGCCCGTTACAAGCAGCGTCGCCGCCTCTGGGACACAAAAGACTTTGTACCCTGTGCGCTGTGGCATCTTTGCCTGCAGCTGCGTGAGAAGCGTCGACTTCCCCCCACAAGGACCACCTGTAAGGCATATTCTAAACACACGATGATTGTGCTTCAGTTTCTTGTGTACATGACGCAATGGGAGCGTTGCGTACTCGGAGAGACCAGGCACGGGTGAAACAGAACGGTTCCACTCAACAGAAAATTTGACTTCATCTCTGCTGTCATCCCTATGGCTGTTGCCACCAACGACGGTTTCGGCAGCCGAAAAACGAGGCGGCGGTGAGTCACTTTTGGTGGCAGAACCTCCATCAGGTGAGGGGCGCTCCGAAGAAATGCCATTCTCGTGGGATTCGCCCGTAATTTGTTTCGGGTGGCCACCACAACCGGCAGCACAATCAAAGCCACCGGGTGCACATTCCCTCGTGGCACGCAGCGGCCTCAGCTCCGTGCTAAAAGGCTGGCGAGACACCCCGCAGCCCATGTTCTCTTCTTCTCCCTTTTCCCCCTCTCGCTGTCTTTTTTCTTTTTGTTTCCGATGAGACGGAGCTCGCGTGAATGATCTAAATAAACTGTTTTTATCCTCTCTAGAAAAATGGCCAAAAATAATGGCCGTGGGATTGATGTTCTACTCTCCGTCAAGTTCACGGGAGGTGCGGTCGTACGCCTCACTCCACAGCACGCCGCCGTAAAGCTGCATGTACCCAAAAGAAGAAAAAAAAAAAAAAAAGAGATGGGTAAAGAGAGAGAGAAAAAAAAAAAAAAAGAAGCAAAAACGCATCCGACGTGTGTGCCTGCCCATACCTGTAGACACAGCCCACCAACAGAGACACGCACATTAGAAAACGGTGGATTCAACAAAGAGGCGTTTTTTTTTTTTTTTGCTTTTCTTCTCTTTTCATCTCCGCTCTTATCAAAATGCGCAACTTTTATTCCCCCCTTTTCTCAACCATTCCGTTGCGCCGAGATTACGCTACAATACGTGCATATATATATATATGTGTGTGGGTATCAAAGATGGTGTTGAATCACGGAAGGCTGATACCGCCTCGCTTCATCTATACGCCTATGGGATGAATAACGCCAATGTTATCGCTGCGAAGAAGAATTTTCCCCACGTGCACCACCTCCTTTGTCTTATGGTGCACCTCCGAGGCATCACCAAGCACCACGTTCATAAACTCATCGTAGCCCAAAATAACGCCCTCAATCTTCATTTTTGTATCGTGCACAAGCCACACGCAGACGCGTTGTCCCTCCGTCATGTACCGGTGCACAATGCTGGTCGGCTTGACCATCTGCTTCGTCGTCGCGCTCATCGTCGCGCCCTCGCAACCGTTTCCTGTCTGTGTGTGTTTTTGACTTGCTGCGGGGGACAAAAGAAAAAGAAAAAAAAAAAAAAACATAAGCCCGGGGCACAGAGACACAAATAAGAAAAATAAAAAAAACCGACAAGAAGTATTAAGCCAAGAGAGAGAAGGAGGGAAAGAAACACGTGGCAGGCGGTGCAACGGTTCGGGAGGAGCAAACACGCAAACACACACACAGACAGAAAGAGGGGAAGAAAAAAAAAAAAAAAAAGATAGAAGGGTGGAATAAAATAAGTACACACCAAAAAAAAGGAAAAAAAGAAAAAAAAGGAAAAAAAAGGAAAAAAAAAAGTAAATGAAAATGGAAGGATGACAGTCGGGGGGAGATCGCAATGGCCGGGCCACGAAGAGGGAGTTAGCTCCGATGAAGCACTGAGAATAATGACACAACAACGACGAGAAACCAAGCCGCAAAGAAAAAAAAAAAAAAAAGGTCTTCAATCAGGAGAAGCAAAGAAATATACATGCAAGCAACCGAGAATACAGGGCGCTCAGCCAGCAGTGCCTAAACTCACGACCGCCCCTCCACTCACAGCCGCCCACGAAAAACGATCCGCACAACCGCCAAATTGCAAAATAAAAGCACAAGGAGATGAATGAAGACGAAGCAACAATAAAAATAAGAGGAGCAGACAAGGCACTTCCAGGTGACAATTTCAAGCCTCCCCAATTCAAAGAAAAAAAAAGAAAAGGAGACAAGATGGAGTCGTGTTATTAACACCGTATTATCTATTATACCACTGCTACCCCATTGCCGCTGTTTTTTTTTCCTCTTCTTCTTTTTTTGGGATTGGGGGGAAGGTGAAGGGGCGTCAACACGTGTGTTCCTTACCGCCTTCTTTTTCCTCCCGCCATAATTTGTTTCTTTTCCTGTTTTTGTTTCTTTCTTTCTCTCTTTACTTGTTATTTTTTCTTTTTTTGTTGTTTTTTTTTTTGTTTTCGTTCTTCAGAGGGGTGGGGTTGCCCGTCGATGGATTTATTTCCCCTCTCCCTCTCTCCCCCCTTCTACTCCCGCCCACTCCATACAAATACACCACGCAATCCAACTTATTTTTCTTTCTTTCTTTCTTTTGTTTTTGTTTTTGTTTTTTTTGCTTTTTTGTTGTTGTTGTTTTATTTCTGCTTTTCTCCCTTTGGAAGTCCGCCCGTGTCCCGCATATTCTTCCTGCCACTTCCCCCTCCCTTGTCCTCTCAATGGTTTTTTTTTATCTTTACCCCCTTCTTCTGCTTCCCTGACAACGTAAGCTGCCTAAACGTGGTACGCCAGTGTCAATCGCCCCGTACCGTCGGGGGAAGCCGAAAGCCAGCCATGTCTCCCTCACGCGGTCGTGGTTGTTGGCGCAGGGCTGACGGTACCAACCAGCGCCCGGACCGGCCGCGTGTTAGCGGAGGCACACAGTTGTAACACCATGAGGTCTGAGGGCAAGTGTTGCCTGTTCTAACCCCTTTTTGCCTTCTTCATCCCTTGTTACTCGTAGAACAACATGTATACCTCTGATTGGCAACGCAGAACATATTCCTTGTCTACCCTTTCCACATCCTCGTCATCGCAGCGAAACCAGCTATTCGGGCGGCTGTCATCTCGCACGTATGCAATGTAGTGGCCGCCGTGAAGAGAACCGCGGTGTGCAACGATGCCGACAAGCTCCCGCTTAAGCGCCGGGAGTGGTTCCTGCCCTTCCCCCAATATACCATTTGTTTTTATCACAGAAGACACTGGAGAGAAGCCAGCGGGGCTCACATCGCAGCTCGTGTGTCCGCTTGAACGACCCGTGGTGATCCCTGGTATTGAGCCATCCGACGTCCCTTGTCCCGCTTTGAACTCCAGCAGGGCATCATCCTCGCCGTTCAACGCACCCTTTTCTTCCATCCCGATCAGCATCCGCTCCGCCCTCTGAAGGTCACCGTTAGCGTGTTCAAAGAAGCGAAGTAAACGATCACGTTGTACGTGAGGAAATCGTGCCTGGAGAGCAGAGAGGCCACGTGCCATTTCGTATTCCCTTAGCACATCCTTTGATACAAACGGTGCCAGGTCAAGCGACATGGGGAACGCCACGCTCCGGGTAACCTTTTGGAAGTCGCGGCCGTCCGATTGGAATCGCAGTAGGTGCAGAGCCAATGTACCGCCCAACCGACTGATGGATGTCGATACAACGGCGTCAGAATATACACAGTTAAGACTCCGCTTCTCCTCGGCCGATGCCTTTTTCTTGGCCTTCTCTTTTCTTTCATTCTCCGCTCTGATAGCCGCGTTGTGTCGCTCCTGTTCCGCCTTCGTAAGCCCCTTAAAACACCTCTCACATGCATATTGATCTTTTTCCCGAAGATGCATCGGCCGAAAGAGTTTGCGCAGCCCACTCTCAATCGAGTCTTCAACAGGAACCGAGAGGGCCATGAATAACTCCTCGCGTGGAAAACGACTTTCACACTGCGTGCAGACAACCTCCGTGCGCATAACCCCCTCAAAAGATAATCGTGGGCCTTTTTTCTTCTCCTCCTCGGACTTGCCCTTGTCAAACTCATCGGCCACACCATTAATCATACACAAAAAGAGTTCCTGGGAATCCTGCTGATCATCCTCCGCAAAGAGGGGGGCAAGTTCACATAGGCAACGTAATACTGCACGTGCAAATGGATAAACTGCACGTGTCTGCACGTCCACAAGCGTCTGTTCACTAAGATGACGAGCCATGGCATATATGCGATAACTCAGAGGACCCGGAAGAGCTCCAACTTCTAGAGAAAGCAGTGGGCGTGTAAAAAATCTACATTTAAGAACACATTGCAAGACGGAGTTAAAGTAGCAGGTGTTCCGATGATTCTCAATACCAGCAACATGTGCTAACACAAGAGCCTCAGCGTCCCCTTTTGACCCTCGCAATGCAAAAGAGGATGTGCCCATAGAAGAAGTGCCACTCGCGTGCACATCCAAATCATGCAAAGTATTACGGTTAGCATAAATGTCCCCGCAAGCACGTGGATAGGACGAGGACTCCCCTGTGTGGAAATTGCCCTGGTTTAATGCAGACCATTCGGCGGGTAGTTCTATTCGAATTCCCTCATAGAAAAGAAAACGAAGTCTTGCAATAATATCACCTAACAGCTTGATTTGTACATGAATTGGGTCGGACTCCTGAAACTCGGAGAAGCGAAGTGGAGCCGGCTTCTCGCTGCAATGCGTACACCATACATTATAAACCCACCCATGTGAATCACTGCTTGGACGGAAGACAATGGCAGCCTCCTTTTCAAGCGTCAGGGGGCCCGACTCACGTATATGCTCGAGGTCATCTACGTGAAACGTGGGAAACAGAGTTTTATTTTTCCCTGAGGGGGTATAATTTCCCATCGTCTTTGCCCAAAACGGAACGGCAAAAAATAAAAAGTGACGTTTTCCACGATTGTTGTTGCCAGCCATGGCAGCTCTTCTCTGTTCTTCTTCATGGATCTTTGCATGTGCCGCACAAAAGCACATTGTACATGTGAAACACAAGAAGAGATCATCCAATGCATTCTCCCCTGAGCCATCTGCCTCATCCCTCGTTTTTCGGAAAATGTTAAAGCCGTGCAGTTTTGTTTTGCTCTTCGTCTTGCCAGACATAAGCCCCCGCTGCTCACACAAGGTGCAGTACATTGTCAAGGGTTCTGAGGTCAAAACTCCCTCCTTTAGCCATGCATTTGCAAACTTCACCCGCAAACGCTGCGGGTCTACCCGTTCGGTGCAGGAGCAGAGCATTCTCTTTGCACGCTTGCCTTCAGACAAAAGAGTTGCCCGGTTCCTTCCTGGTCCGAAGTTTACCAGCGACGTCTTGAATAAATTTTAGATGTCGAGTGAAATATTAACGTTGCGTGTGATACCCTCTCCCCCACCCTTTTTTTTTTTATTTCTCCACAAACACACACCGCCTTCGCGCCACTTGATGCCGGAAAGCTCGTAAAACGTCGCTCCACACTCCCGGTTTCCTGGCCAGCCAACTCTCGCCTTTCCTTTTTGCCTCTTTCTCTCCTTTTTCTTTCCTTTTTTTTTTTTTTTTTGCTTTTCTTTTTGCTTTTGAACGCGCGAATTTCCCCTCGCTTACTTTGTTGTTGTTTCTCACCTTTGCCTTCTTCTTCTTGCCGTCGTTCCCCCTTTATCGGCCTTTTCTTTTCTCTCCCCCCCTCCCCCCCTCTTCTTCGTTTCCTTGTTAATGTTGTTGCCACTCCAACCTAACGCGTTTAGTTTCCACTGATGATGATTCTTCCTTTCAGTACACAGCCGTGACGCTGCAGAAGTAGGCAACAAAGAGAGAACGAGAAATAGAGGGGCAATCATGCAAAAAAAAAAAGAGGGAATAATCTTCCGGGCAGCTGGCCGGATCCTGAAATTATCTATGGAAACCAAACAAGTTAGGGAAAAAGGGTTCGTTAGTTAATTGTTTGAATGTTTTCTTTGCATTCAATATATAGAATTCTGTGCACCACTAGCATGGTCCCTTGCCCTCAGTTAGGATTGGAATATTATTACTTACGAAGTGGCAGACTTTGGGGTCCTCCAGCCACAAGACCCCGCCGCGTGGTGGGAATCAAAAGGGGGTTAGGGTGGGATGGCAAAATAAAAATAAATATTATCGGGCCTCTATCCGCTCCCTGCCCCCTAAAAAGTCGCGTTCTTCCCAAAAGATTCATACGGTGGAAAGTATCATAAAGAATGCATTCGTTTATCAGGATATACACATACATTCATTAGGTTAGCCAGCTCTCCCGCGATCATTCTTTTCACAAGCTCCTACAAAAAGCAAAGAGAGGGGGGCGGTGGCGCAGGCGTGGCGAACAGTTACAACCCGAGAACCAGAAACAGTGCGACTACTACTTTGCTCCCCACACACACACACATATATATATATATCACTATCTCGCACAGCCTTGATAACCCCCGCAGCAGCAGCAACAAAAAGCCAACAGGAATCACGATTGCTTGTGCTTTAACGCGGAAGCAAAGCGAGGGAGGGGGGGCGTACGTCGTGCGGAGTGGGACGCACGCAAACTGAGAAAGGGAA